ACTCAAATGAAGGTGTAGAACCATCTCAGGGATGATCAGCAGAAATGGACAGCACCTAAGTTAAATATGAGTGTCACAGAGCAAAGGGTCTGAATACTTATGACCATGTGATATTTCAGTTTTTCTTTTTTAATAAATCTGCAAAAATGTCAAATTCTGTGTTTTTCTGTCAATATGGGGTGCTGTGTGTACATTAATGAGGAAAAAAATGAACTTAAATGATTTTAGCATATGGCTGCAATATAACAAAGAGTGAAAAATTTAAGGGGGTCTGAATACTTTCCGTACCCACTGTATCTCTCTACATTATATTGTGTTCTTGTTGTATTTTTCTTTGCTCCCTTCACTTACTACTTTAAAGTGCCTAAGATTTGTGATTTTCCTGCCTATTTAGATTTGTGTTATTGCTCATCTACTTTATATTTCACTTGTATTTTGTGGCATTCATGTGGACGGCAAAGTAAGAATTCCATTGTACAGGGAAGCGTGTTTCCTAACTGTGCATATGACAAATAAACACTTTGACCTTCAACCTTCATGCCCTGATTTGTAAACTACACTGGTACTGTTGGCATGTAATCTCTTGTGTTTTGTTAAAGTAATATTTTTCTCTTGTCTCTCTCCATTTGTCTTGCTCAGTGTCAGACGAGCCCCTGAAGGAGATGCACTAAATGGTGAGAAATGTAGTTTAATTACATGGTTTAACAGGAACAGGCTCGTTACGTCTGAAACAAGCAGCCATTATCAAAATTACCCTTTGACATTTATTTTGCATCAAATATGTGTGATATAATCTTTAATGTAACAGACATCATGGTAATACAAAATACCATTTTTCCAATATTTACTTCTTGTTTTACTGCACATTTTGTGTTGAATTCTGTCCCCAGATGATTGTCCAGTGATTAACACTGGCATATTTATCAAATGACATGAAGTACTCCTGTAGAATCGTTTTGCAAAATCCTTGACAGTTTTCTTCCTTTTCTCTGTAGCTATTGGCTCCCCTTTCAAGCCCATGGAGAGCTACCAGTACTCGGGTTAGACATGGATTCATACACATGTACTGCATGGAGTTTGTATTTTGTATCCTGTTTTCTTGTAAAATTATTGACTACACCATTTTTGCTTTTTTAAAATGCTGCACTATTATAGTCTCAAATTTCACTGAGACAAAGAGCAATATATAATCCTACAAAATACTTTTACTCCTGTTCAATTTGTAGTTGTTTTGTATTCCTGTGTGTGTGTGTGTGTGTGTGTGTGTGGACGTGTTTTTCCTGCTACGTAGGGACTTCTTCCTGACGCCATACCAACTCATGAGGACCCATTTCGGGGGGGGGGGGACCAAAATTGGGGCCCCCACGGG